ATTAATGAGTGTTTTGTCCTCTGCATCTTCCCTGGAGAGGGTGGGTGATGTTTGCACCATAATCCCTGTGCACTTTGAGGTCATTTCTCTCCTCCTGGGGATCAGCTCTGGCCTGTGCTGGATTTGTTCCTGGCACTGGGCTGGGCTTTGTGTTCTCCTGCTTTGGAAAACCTTGAAAAGTGTCACTAAATCCGAGTTTTTACAGCATGAGGAGCTTTGGCTCTAAAAAATGGGCTGCTGGGCTCAGTTAATTAACGAAATTAATTTGAGGAGAACGGTTTTACGTGGCCAGGGGCAGGGAGAGATGGGATATTGGGAAGGAACGATTGGGAATGGATTTCCTGAGAAGCTGTGGCTGTCCCATCCCTGGCAGTGCCCAGGGCCAGGCTGGGCAGGGCTGGGAGCAGCCTGGGATGGTGGAAGGTGTCAGGATTGCAGTGGGATCATCCTCAAGGTCCCTTCCCACCCAAACCGTCCCATGACTCCAAATGTGGTCGCATAAAGATTTTGGGAAGGGGAAATTCCATATTTGAGAATTGCTTTTAATGGATTGAAAAGTGGAATGAAGAAGAGGAAGAACATTTGAGTTGGGCAGAGGGAAATGACATTTTCCAGCTTTTCCCACACAACCAGCAGGGAATATTTGCCCCAGTGCAGGTTGGAATTTGAGGGAAGTTTTTTTTTTTTCATTTCTCAGTAGCACTGGGAAATGTCCAAGAGAGCTCAGCTGCTCCAGCCAGAGCAGTGCAATTCCACACTCCAAGCAGAGCTTTGGAACGTGTTTTGATTTTTTTTAAAGATAATATTTACCCTTGCTAATTAACGAGAGAGAAGATTTCTGTTTTGTTCATGTTCTCCTGTGTTAACAAGGCATTGGATGGGTTTGATTATCCACTTTGGAATGCTGCCTGTGACTCAGGAAAGCCATCAGATATTTCAGTAAATAGCTTTGTTTACAAGGGGCTGCTCAGAAGAATTATTTGGAATTAATGTTTTAAAATAGATTAATTAAATTACATTAAACTTGTGTGTGGAAAAGCTAATCTGGAATTCAGGTGAATTTAATTTAGTTGCTTACAAATATTAATTTACTTAATTAAACAAAGGCTGATTGAATTCTGTGTTAAGTGTATCAATTCTGAGTAAGAGTATTGGCAGAGATATTTCATGTGATTTATCTAATCAGCTTTAAATTTATATCTTTAGTTGTCTGTGATGAGTTTTTTTTACTATTCCAGTCCTGGAGCCACTTCTGAGCAAGTGCCTATAGGATGCTCAAGGCTTTTTGCTCCTGTTTTTGAGGGGAAATGAGATAATTTTTGGTTATAGTTTCATTTATCCAGCAGGAGCAGGTGTCTGGTGGGATTGTTGGATCAGAGGAACAAAGTGGGGTCTGGCCTGGGATGGGGAAAGGGGGGACAGTGGAGGAGCTGCTCTGGCAAGGGCTGCAAGACCCCTTTACCCCAAGGGGTTAGAAATGTTGGAGGAAACTGGGATTTTGATTATTGAGAGTGGAAAAGAGCTCTGGGATCATGGAGAGTTCACCCTGTGCCCAATCCCCACCTTGTCCCCAGCCCAGAGCACTCAGTGTCACATCCAGGAATTGCTGGGACACCTCCAGGGATGGGCACTCCAAACCTCCCTGAGCACTTCCAATTCCTGAGCACCCTTTCCATGGGGAAATTCCTGCTGATGTCCACCCTGAGCCTCCCCTGGCCCAGCCTGAGGCCGTTCCCTCTGCTCCTGTCCCTGTTCCCTGGGAGCAGAGCCCGATTTGGGACTGTCCCCTCCTGTCAGGGAGTTGTGCAGAGCCAGGAATTCCCCCTGAGCCTCCTTTTCTCCAGGCTGAGCCCCTTTCCCAGCTCCCTCAGGATTCTCCAGCCCCTTCCCAGCTCCATTCCCTTCCCTGGACACGCTCCAGCCCCTCCCTGTGTGTCTTGGATAAACCCAAAGCTGTCCCGAATTCAGCTGTGCCCAGCACAGGGGACAATCCCTGCTCTGGGGCTGTGGCCATGCCAGGGCTGGTGCCAGCCAGGTGCCAGTGGCCTCTTGCTCACCTGGGCACACCTGGGCTCCTGTTCAGCCACTGTCCCCAGCATCCCGTCCTTTCCAGTTCTCCAGCCTCAAGCTCCAGTGGTTGTTGTGTCCCAATGGCTCCAAAAGAGGAAATGTTCCTGGCCCAGGGCTGGCACAGGAGCTGAGCTTTCCTTGCTGTCCCCTGCACATTCCCAAGGGATAAGGAATTTTCAGGTTCAGACTCACAAAGCTCAGGAAGCTCCAAGCCACCCCAAAGCCTGTCCCCTTTGGAGGCACCCAGGGAACTGTGGAGATGAGGAAATCCCTCCAGGACACACCACAACCTGTTCCTCCCTTAAGACTTGGAGGAGCCCCTGGAATTCTCTGGGAGAATCCATAAGTGCAGCATAGATGTGCCAAAAGCACTGGGCTGCAATTGCTGGGAGCCTGGCTGGCCAACTTCTCCTTTCATGGAATATTTTCCACTGCCTGGTAGAACCTTTTCCCCCATCCCCTCTCCCAGATAGGGGCAAAGTGATCAGAAAATATTCCTGTGTTGATCCAACTTCCATGTGCTGCTTGGGGGAGGAGAAGTGGGCACGTTCCTTGGCCCTGCTGTGGTTTTATCCCCAGCTTCCTGGCTTTCTGTTAATATTTCTTTTTTATAATTTCAGATTTGTTCCTGGGAATAGTTCAGCACTGGTGGCTGGGTGCCAGTGTACATACACTTAATTTAGATTTAATGGGGACTAGAGTTTCAGACAGGAGGTGGAAATCAGGGGGAATATAGAGCAAATTTGGAGAAAAAAAGTGTTTTATGTGAGAAGTGCTGGTAAATACTTCACTGAGTAAAGAGCCTGGAAACTGTAATGGCAAAGTTACTCTGAATTTGTTGACTGAAGCTTTTTGAAGCTGATAAACTCCTCTAACTCTCATTTTTTCTGGCTTTCCCCCTTGGTTCTGAAAGCAAGGCCAGCCCACCAGTACAGTTTATTATTAGAACTTGAACTGGTGAATTTGGAAGAGGGACACTTTATTCAAGATATTGATAACTGCAGCTTCCTTGGGCATTGCTTTCCTAATCCCAAAATTTCCAAAATTTATTTGTTTTGCCTTTTATGTTTTGATGCAGGATGGCAGCAGAAGGGAAATTTGTCCTGGCTTTGAAATGACAGAATCGTGGCTGATTTCTTCCAAGTTGTCTGACTTAGTGAAATTGGAATAAAATCAGTTTAAATGGAAATAAACCCTGATGTTACAGGCACAGATTTCTCTGTGTGTGTTGTAGCTGCTCTGCCAGTTGTGGTTGTGCCCTTGTTTCAAGGCTCTGGGACAGAATATTTGGATATTCCTGAGGTGTAGTTGAACACTTTCAGCCTATGGCCCATGAGAGGTGGGCAATGAGAACAGGAAATCATTTGAAGAAAAGTTGAATTTAATGATTTTTAAATTGAATTTTGAAGGCACGTGGTTGGATCGTTGGGTCGTGTGTGCAGGGCCAGGAATTGGATGGTCCGTGTGTGTCCCTTCAAAATCAGGATTTTTTGGGGGGCTAAAAATGTGAAGCATTAAAGTAGATTTAAAATTATCATTTAAAAATATACAAAATTATCACAATTCCTTCAGGGGACAAATTTGTAGCTGGAGAAATTTGAGCGGTTTCAACGCAACGCGTGCAGCGTCGGCGACTCCTGTCAATAACCACATGAATTACAGCAAACCCTGTACAAATCAACTTCACAAACAAAGTTTTTTTGTTCTAATTCAGCCTTTTTTTGGAGTGGTGGCAGCGTCCCCTACAGCAGAGGGCAGGGCTGTCCCTGCTGCAGCCACGTGTGACACCGTGGAAGGATGAGTGCAGCACAGCTGCTGTGTCCTGCTCAGCCTGGCTGCCCACCAGGGCTTCTCAGAAATGGCAAATTCCCCTTGCCAAAATGGCATCCACAAGCACGGAAAGACTGCCAGATTTTTAAATTTTTTTTTTTATTTTTCTTTTTGGGCTCGCTGCCACATTCTGTGCTGGCCCAAAAGTCTTTCACCATGAGCAGAATTTCAAGTGACTCAGTGCTGGCAGTGCTGGTATTTTGAGTAAACAATTTGGGGATGTGGGGAGGTCTCAGAATCCTTCTCTAGGTTGTGTTGCTCTCCTAAAAATTTATCCCCTCCATTGCTGGCTTAATGGATTTCTTGGGCTCAAGTAGAAGAGGAAAATCACTGTGTAGAGTTGATTTTGATTCCATGTCAGTGTTAATGGATGAATTATAATTTCCATCAGTAAAATCTCCATTTATCTCTCCCAATTTTTTACTGCAGGTTAAAAAAGGAAAAAAAAAAATCTACTGATCTCTTGGTATTCCTTGTCCAGCCCTTTGTAAAGTGGGGGAAAGTGCAGCTAGGAGAGATTGCAGTGATTTTATTTCAATTTTACAGGTTGAAGGTTTCTTTTAAAACACTAATAAATCCCCTGGACTGAGAATTCCAGGGGAGCAAGGCTGAGAAATATTTTGACTTTCAAATCAGGACCATATCCTGAAAATGGTTTCATCAGAGCTGAGCTGTAGAAACACCAGGCAAGTTCCTGAAGAAAAAAAAAAGTCAAGTTTTGCTTTAGTTGTAATAAGAAGTGAGGAAACTCCTCGTTCTCACTGAGTTTAGGAAGATTCAGAATTTGCAGTTCTTGCAAATCTGGTGTGGCTTGGAGCTTCCTGAGCTTTGTGAGTCTGAACCTGAAAATTCCTTATCCCTTGGGAATGTGCAAGGGACAGCAAGGAAGGCTCAGCTCCTGTCCCAGCCCTGGGCCACGAGGATTTCCATTAATTAAAAAAATTCATGGAATTTTTTGGAGGTGCTGCAGGGCTGGGTGAGGTGAGCTGGATAAATCCCTGGTCATTCCTCTTACAACTGAATCCCTTTATGGAAGGAGAATAAAAAGTGCAAGGTGTTGATGCAGTGTGCAGTATTTCACAAATATGAACTTTTTGCAGGAGTGCATGCCTGGGCAGCTGCAGTGGTGCCTCAGGGGATTTGCTGCTGGTTCTGAATGATGTCAGAGCAGGATTTGGCAGATGTGGTTCAGATTGCTGTTGAGGACCTGACTCCAGATAATCCAGGTAGGAAGAGATTTACAGCAGATATTAACTGCAAAGCACTGCTGAGCTTTGCTTTAAAATACAAACCAGGTTTTTATTTCAAAAGGTGCTTTTAAAACCCATATCCCATATTTCCCATAGCTTCACTTGTATATCTCCAAACCCTTTAGATCAGCTTATTTTATTTATTTCACTTTTCTCTTGAAGGCTTTATTGCCTGATTGTTTTTTGTAGACTAACCCCAAAAACAAAGAAATATTCCTGCAGTCTTGTTTCTCTCCATGCTTTTCCTCCTGTGGGAACTGTCCCCCAACCATTAGGAATTGTTTTGTGTGTAAGACAGTTTGTCTCATCCATTATTGAAATTCTTTGGACAGTAAGAGTGAAAAACACTTCTGAAAGCAAATATTTGGCTATCACTTGCTCAGAAATTGATTTCCTAAGTGAAGATCCATTGAAATGTTGGTCCTCTGTGGCCATTGCAAGTCAATGACTGCAAGAACAGGAATGGAAATGAGAGGCACAGGCCAAAAATCTGCTTTTCTGATAGAAAATGCAAAAATTATTTCAGAAATGGTCCCGAGGAGTTGGAGGAGAAGCTGGGACCTGCCAGTCCTTCAAAAGTCTTTGCTCAGCTTGGTAGAGGAACTCAAATCTGGTCCCACCACCACTGGCAGATATTTGAGAGAAACCCTGAGCAAGTGTCAAAGATTATTAAATATCATAATTAAATTTCCTTGCTTTTGTTTTCTCCACTTTACTGTGGTTTTCATTTGAGCTTTATCCTCTTGGGTTCTAAACTCTGGCAATGTTTGGTTTTTTTTTGTTCCCCTTTGCAGTTGTGTTGGAGAACCATGAGGTGGCAGATGATGATGTGGAACCTGCCCTGAAACGTCAGAGGATAGAAATCAACTGCCAGGATCCCTCTATAAAGGTTATTTAATGTCCTTTCCCGGTTTTATTTCTAATGCCAATTAAGTTTAGGGAAAGTTTTTACAAGAATATAAAATAAACTGTTTATACCTTATACTGGAATTATTCTTGTAGATACTTGTGCATTTTTAGGCATACATTTAAAAATCTGGGTAATTGTTTAATTTTCCAGTGTAGAATTAGTGGCAAGAATTTCAGATGCACTATAAAATATCATCAGAATTAATTCCACTGACCCAAACCATGAGTTTTGGGACATTTTTTGATAAAGTAAATGAAGTTGACCAAAAGAGATGAACTTGAGGATGTCTTTGTGTTACAATTTGTAGACACTTTCAGCATGTTTGAAGTTATTATTTGAAGCTACTGGCGTTCTCCTGATAGAAAATTCATATTTAATTCTAGCTCAGGAGCTCAGCAGTCCCCCTGCTGTTCTCACTGCTGGGATTTAGGGTTGGTTTTGGCCCTGGAGTGTGAGTAGCTGATGAGGATTTTAGTGCCACAGACACTGAGCTGTGGAATTGTGTGTTTTTGGGGTGATCCCAGGAGTGGAGCTCTGTGTGAAGGAGGGGTCTGGGGTGCTCAGTGATTGCAGGGCCACAAGATGGCACAGCTGCTGTTTGCAAAGCACACCGAGTGCAGCTCTTCCCTCTAATGGCCTGTTTTCCCAGGAGAACCCAAGTGGAATATGTTTTCTTTTCAAAAAGATTGCTTAGCAAAACAGATTTTATTTATTTGCTTTTCTTGATTTGCTGTTCAGCAGGAAGCTGAAGTGAGTGGCATTAATTGTCTCCGAGATTTTTTATGTTGATACAATTTCCACTGCAATTTATCTGTTTGGGCAGGGAAAAAAAAAAAAACAACTCACTAACTTCATCCAGAAGGATGCATCCAGAGATTTATAATCCTTTTGTTTTCACATGTGGACTGGAAGGCTTTGGCAAGTCATTAGAAATGATTTTGAAGTGGATGAAATCATCCTGACAAAGTGCTTAGGTGAAAATGGCTTTGGCTGGGCTGCTTTTGGCTCCCAAATCAAGATCTGGAAGAATCTGAGCCTGCTGAAACACTCCTGGATGTCATCAGGGGTGGATTTTGTCACCAGACAGGCTGCAAGTTCCTTTAGGATTGGTTCCCAGGCACGTTTATCCCGAGCTTCCTTAGGAGTGGGGATGAACTCTGAGTGTTCAATCTGGTTTCTCCTCCCTCCCCAGTCGTTCCTGTATTCCATCAACCAGACCATATGCCTGAGGCTGGACAGCATCGAGGCCAAGCTGCTGGCACTGGAGGCCACCTGCAAATCCCTGGAGGAGAAGCTGGACCTGGTGATGAACAAACAGCACAGCCCCATCCAGGTGCCCATGGTGGCTGGGTCCCCGCTGGGAGCCACCCAGACCTGCAATAAAGTCAGATGGTAAGGACACAGCACTGCCTCCCCCCAAAAAACCAACCCTAAAAACCAACCCTAAACTCCTCTCTGCCACCCAGACCTGCAATGAAGTCCCATGGTAAGGACACAGCACTCTCCCCCAAAAAAACCCAACCCTAAAAACCAACCCTAAACTTTTCTCTGTCACCCAGACCTGTAATCAAGTCCTGTGGTAAGGGCACAGCACTGCCTCCCCCCAAAAAAACCAACCCTAAAACCCAACCCTAAAAACCCCCTAAACTCTTCCCTGTCACCCAGACCTGAAATAAAGTCCCATGGTAAGGACACAGCACTGCCTCCCCTAAAAAAACAACCCTAAAAACCAGCCCTAAATCCAGGATTTGGGCATTTCCTCCTCTCTGCCACCCAGATCTGCAATAAAGTCCCATGGTAAGGAAACAGCACTGCCTCCCCAAAAAACCCAACCCTAAAACCCAACCCTAAAAACCCCCTAAACTCCTCTCTGTCACCCAGACCTGTAATCAAGTCTCATGGTAAGGACACAGCACTCTCCCCCAAAAAAACCAACCCTAAAAACCAACCCTAAATCCAGGATTTGGGCATTTCCTCCTCTCTGCCACCCAGACCTGCAATAAAGTCCCATGGTAAGGACACAGCACTCTCCCCCAAAAAAACCCAACCCTAAAAACCCCCTAAATCCAAGATTTGGGCATTTCCTCCTCTCTGCACAGCTGGCAAGAGGCTGCTGCTGGAGGTAGAATTCATTTATCTCCAAGGTAATTCTTGTGTTACTCAGAGGCAGATGCTGGTCCAGGGACAGTTTGCAGCTCTTCCCACATTTCATCCTGACTTAAACCAGACTTCTTGATCCATCCCCTGGAAAAGCCTCAGCAGCTCTTTCAGAAAGGTTTTTGAGACTTGCTGTGCTTTTATTTATAGCTGTTTTGACTTAATGAGTTCATCATCGTTCTAATTGCTTCTCATTTTACTTCTCCTCACCAGAAGTACAATGGGGTGTGTTTTATGAGCTTGTTTGCTAAAGAATCCTGCTAGGAAAAATATCTCTGCTTATTTTGGAGTTAGAAGCTGGAGATGGAAAATCTGTTGAATAATCTAATGCACTTTGCTGAAAGAGTAGGCTTGACCTGCAGTCCCTTTGTGTCTCACTCCACTAATGTGGTTTTAAATACCTAAATCTTGATGTGTCTGTCATCTTATCATCGAGGTGATCCCAGCCAGAGAAATCTGCTTAACAAAAGACTCTTTTCTCCAACACTTCTTCCTCCTTTTCAATGTTTTTTTATAGCTAGAAGACACTTCATACTTCATACTATATAACTACTTTTTATTCTCCATTACAAAGGTGTGCAAGCATTTAATTTTTCTTTTATGCAGGTGCTGTGTCTGCTTTTACCTCTGCTTATGAGGGCTTCATACACTGAAAAGATTAATTATGGCTGGGTTGTGTAATAGCAGAAACAAAGTACATGGAATAAGGACTTGGATCATAGAGGAAGTAACCAGAGTTTTACACCAGGGTTTTTGCTAAATATTCTTTTCTCAGTAATTATTTCTTCAAGAATCTTTTTGAAATCTGGGCTGATTTTTTTTTTGTCGTTAATTTAAAGATCTTCAAGTTCTGGTGCATGAGCTGAACTTTTCACTGTGGTTTGTGCACAAAAGGCTTCAGAAACCTTTTCAGGAACCCATGGCCCCTGTGGGACCCCATTAATTCATGCTCAGTGAATGCTTTCCTCTGTAAGTTGTGAGTTTCTGAAAGGATTTGTCACACCCTGAGCTGCTTGGTTTGGTTTGGTTTGTTTTTAAATCTCTGCAACCATCAAAAATCTGTCCTGGCTGTTGATGGTGCTCCATCTTTTGGTTTGGGTTACAAATGTTTGCTGACAGCTGCTCAGCCAGTCTGACCATCATTTAGATAGAAGTCTTGAAGACAGCAGGAATCTGTGCCCCAAATGTTTGTTGCTGTTGGTCTGAAGTTGCACATTATCAAAGGTGTGGTGCCAGGAGAGCACTGAGGGCTTTTTGTTCTGGAGCAGACTGTGGCCTGTGGGACTCGAGAGAAAATAGGGCTGGATGTGTTTAATTTGGCACTGGGGACACTCCAGTTGCACAGAATATTTCCCTGAATTCCCTGTCTTTCATCCATAAATCCCTTTATCACTTGTTGTTTCCAATTAAAGGCTGTTCCATCCTGCCAGCTCTGTGTCCTTCCCTGTCCCCATCCATCACAGAGGGCAGAGCTTCCCATAAGTTTGGGATAGGGATTCTCAGATTCTTCAGCCTCCTCCTCATCCTCCTGCCACCAAACCCATGCTGGCTTTGCTGCTGGAACACAAAGCTGTGGTTGTTCAAGGCTGTCAGGGAAGATGGTGCTGCACTGCCAGCAGAGCAGCTCTTGGGGAAAAAATGGGAATAAATGCAGTAAATACCTCAGGATCCTGGCTGAGAACTGGGGGTGCTGGCCCTGATTCTGCCCCTCAGGTGAGACCTCACCTGCAGAGCTGCCCCAGCCCAGAGGAGGCTCCAGGATGGTGCCAGGGATGGAGCAGCTCTGCTGGGAGAGCTGGGATTGTCCAGGCTGGAAAAGCTCCAGGGTGATTTTATTGCAGCCTTCCAGGAGCTGCCAGAGCCAGCAAGGACAATGGAGAGAGACTGGGGACAAGGGATGGAGGGACAGGACACAGGGAATGGTTGCCAGTGCCAGAGGGCAGGGCTGGATGGGATTTTGGGCAGGAATTGTTCCCTGGCACAGATTCCCAGAGCAGCTGTGGCTGCCCCTGGATCCCTGGAAGTGTTCAGATATAAATGGAGAAATTCCAGAGGTAAATGGAGCTCAGGTATTTTCCTGGACCCGTTTTTTTAATACAAATAAAATACAGACCACAAACATCTGTTCCACGTGCACTTGTGGCTAATTGATAAAAACTATAGAGATAAAAACGTTTATATTTCTATCTTTAATGAGAGTGGGACAGTTAAATGTAGATTAATTGCACTCAATTAAGGATCCAAAATCCATGCTGGTGTCCTTGAACAGAACTGGCTGGGGGTTGAACATTGCCTTATTAATTTGGAGATTCTTCAGATGCAGTTTTGTACCAGATGGGATGTTGGAATTTGCTGTATTTTAGTAAGTGTGGATCATTAAAATGTTTGTTTTACCATTGGATTTAATCAGCAGAACAATTGAATTGGATTTGGAGAACAAGACTTGTCCACCCACTCTGCAATTTGGCAAAACCTCCTGGCTCCACATCCCCCAAATTCCTGAGCTGTGTTTCTGCTGATTGTTTCTTTGTTTACAACTGGGTTTGGGGTCAAATAATGCAAATTTGAGAGTTGAGATGATTTTAAATGAGGTTGTAAAGCAGAGAATGTGGTGTGGAATGAATTGTAGGGGGACTGTTCTAGATTTAGCAAAAATACTGGTGCTCCTGCATAAAACCTAAAAGAAAAGAAACAAACCTAAAGAAATATAATCAAGGTATTGGTGTATAAACCCTAAAAGAGCCAGAATTCAATTTTAAAAATTTATATATATATATATATATATATTTATTTCTTCTGTGAGTTACAAACCCCTTGGCCAACCTAATTGCATTTTTATCAGAAGGATTTTTACAGATTATAATAAACTATCCCCCTATGCTAATCCAGACTTTTAGAAGGAATAATAATTCCTCAGCCCTTATCAGTGAGCAGTGGCTGCTGAGTCTCTTCCCTGTGTTCATTGCACTTGATATTATAACTCATTAGGGGATGTAAACCACTTTATATCCTTTTATTTCACTCCCTGATAAATAAATTAACATTGTGAACCTGCAGGATTTTTTGCTGGTTTTAACTCAATTTAAGAGCTAATTGTTCCTTCTTGCAATTGCTTCTGAAGAGCCTGAATTTGCAGGAAGATTTAAATTGATTTATTTGGAAACCAAGCATGAGTTGAGGAGCAGAGGTTTCTTTTCGAGGTGCAGGTCCATGAATTCCAAGGCTGGAAAAACATTTCCCTGGAAGCAGATTCAGCCCTGGAGACAAGTGGGGGTGAGAGGGAGGCACTCACAGAGTCAGAAATTTGGGGTCACTTCTCAAGGTTTGATTTAGAGAAGCTTTGGAGTTGCCCAGCTTTTCAGGGATTCTGTCACTCTGCAGCAACCCAGGTTTATTTATCCTTTATTTATCCTTTCCTGGAGCCTCACCCAGCAAAGCCAATGTGCAAACAGTGAATTCTGGGAGGCCTGCAATGACCACAACTGGACTTTTGTCCTTGCTTGGGATGGACCCTTTGGGATCCATAAATTCCCAACCTTTCCCTTTCTGGCAGCAGCCTCTGGAACAGGAGCAAATGTTTATTTGGAATTTCATCAATAATTGCAAACAATTCTTTTGAATATTGGAGTTTGAGGCTGAGGATTCTCCCAGGTGGAATTCTGAAGGATTGAGGAGGAAAATGGCCCAATTGTTTGGGATCTGTTCTCAGCACCTTCATTTTGGTCACACTCCCAGCTGGGGGACAGAGTCAATATTGACAATGAAAAAAATCATCATTAACACTTCATGGATTAAAAAATTCTGTTTAGAATCACAAGATGGTTTTTTTTTTTAAGAGCACAGAAGAAGTGGAAACAAAAATTTTGAGCAAAATAATTTGGTAAAGTGAGATTTCAGTGAAGGAGGTGAGAATTTAAATGGGAGTTCATCATTTTGTAGATTGGGCCACAAAATTTTTTGCATTTCCAGCCTTTTGAGGCTCCTACTCTCAGCTCTGATAAAGAGATTTTAAAGGGGTTTTCACACATCATTTGTGGATGAACACTCTGTTTTCAGGTTGAGTTTTTGTGAATAATTATGTTTGCTATGGTTTTGTACATGCAGTCAGTGCCTGTCACTGAGCAGCATTTCAGCCTGCAGGAATTGCTGTGCCTTGGAATATGTGATGAAAACCCCAAATTCCTTCTTGAGGTGTAATAGAGAAGTTTCTCTGAAAATTACAGTTCTGTCCTGCA